TATTGCCTATAGTGCTGATGTTAGGGTACCTCGAATTGAGGAGGGGTCCCCAAGCCGGATTCGTCACCCCAAGAATCAAGAGTCCACACGCCAATTGATGCAACACCCAAGAGGCTTTAATTAGGCATCTGCAGATGGGGTCAGCTTTTAGACCGATTGACCCCGAGGTTCAGTTACAATCAGCTTTTAAAGACAAAAACCACAAGCTTTTGGGAGGGGTCCCTATCTCGTGACGGGGGAAGGGGGTACGAAACTCCTGTCCTGGGGAAGTAGGTGTCTTCCTGACTTACATGTTGTCAATTCCTCAAACCTTGGCATGAGTTAATTATATCTCCCTAAGTAAATAGTGTTATCTCCTTGTTTCCCACTAGTCTTGTCTGCCCATCTGTGATGCCCTGGTCAGTTCTTCACAGATGGCAGCCCATAATTGGCTTTTTTGTGGGTTTACAGCCCTTCTGCAATTAAGGTCTCTAAACCATACATTCCATTCTGTGGTATGGCCGGTTCCTGGGATGGGGTCCTTTGTTCACTTCCCAAGTTCTCTAGTGGGGTGCCCTCCCTGTTTAAGCTTATATTTTATTTCTATAAATTCGGGGTCTTACACTGATACCTGGGTAGTACTTTGCAAGGTATTGAACAGAAAGTATGCCAAAGTGTCAAGCATTTATCTACAAATTAATACATAGTATGTATGTAAGTTTTTAAAATAAATACAGGAAATGGTTGGGTAGAGTGTTTTATTCTACTTGACTGTGTTTCAGCCTAAGTTGTCTGCTGTGTTTGCTTATCAGGAGGCGAGTCTCCTGAACTGTAAACCACTGAGCTGATCTGACTAAGGCCCTTCTCTCCCACATAAGCAAAGGCAGAAAGATGGTAACAATCATTGTTTCTATACATTGGAACAACGAGATGAGATCACTGTTTGAGCTGATAATAGCAGAATGTCTTTCTTAGAAATGAATTTTTCCTCTGATGGAGGGAATATCAGAATTATGTCTCCTGATCACAGTGCAGAGTCTGCTTGACCTTAGCCAAACTGAATTTGTTCTGACTGGCAAACTCAATGACGTGAAGATTTCCTCTTGAACTATGCCAGGGTTCTGTTTCCATCTCTTCATTAAGAATGTTCTAAAAACATGTTGATCTTCCTTTCCATATCCTGTTTCCGGGTTCATTCTGGAGATGAAGGTGTTGGGTGCCAGCTGTCCCCAGTGCACACTGCTGTAAGTCAGGACCTCAGCTCTGACCTCCACACTCATGTTACAGAGTAACTGTGTTTAGTTGTCACAGCACGGTTTCACACAGTACACTGTTTTTCCTTATGCTATTATATAGTTCTTTAATACATGTTTTATTTAAAATTAAAACAATCTTATTTTCCACACCTATCCCAGTGCTCTCTCTCTTCCTTCCTCCCATTCCTCCCCACCTAGCCATCTTCCTGGCCCCCATTTACTCCCCAGGGAGGGTGAGGCCTCCCATGGTGGATCATCAAAATGTCACATCATTTGGGGCAGAGCCTAGGCCCTCTCCTGTGTTTCTAGTCAGATACAGTACCTACCATAGGGAATAGACTCCCAGAGCCCATTTGTGCACTAGAGATAAATAGGTACATTATTTTCTAGGTTTTATTTTAAACTGTTTTTTAAACAAGATAAATTGACCTTACAACTATTCTATTTAAACCTAACAGTCTGTGGAGTGGACATTATCAGCACTGGTTCTTTCATTTAGTTGTTTTTTGCTTTTTATTTTGTAAGAATAGCAATTTCAGTGTTGAATAAATGTGTCAATGGTTAAGATAATGTACTTCTCATCTACAGGATCAGAGTTCAGATCCACTAGTCAGAGGCTCACAGCTACATCGGAATCCAGCTCCAGAAGCTGACATCCCTTCTGTCCTATGCAGGCATCCACACACACAAGTGAACAAGCATTTTGTTTTTTAGAAAAATTAAGATATACTTTTATAAGAATAGCAGTGTCAACTTCTGATTTGTTGTTATAGTTGTAACTTCAAAAAATGCTAATTGAACTTTTGCCATCTTGTGAACATTATCTAAAGGTAGATTATAAAATAATAACATCATATTTCACATAGAAATTTCAGATTTCACATGTTGAAAATGATTGACTCTGGTCTAGTGAGATGGCTCAGAGGGTAAAAATGTTTGCCACAAAAGCCTGACAACAAGAGTTTCAACCACAGGATACACATGGTACACACAGTAAGAGAGTCCTGACTCCTGCAAGTTGTCTTCTTAAACACACACACAAACACACACACACACACACACACACACACAAAATAAATTTCAAAATAATATTTAACTCTAAGGAGTGACATATGCATTTGTTCAGATTTTAATGTCTCAAAGTCAGTAAGAATTCTTTGATATTTATGAAGACAATAAACCAAAAAATCCACAGGCTTATAAACAAGATTTGGAACAAAAGCAGCAAGAAATAAAGGAGTGCAATATGTGTCAGGACTGAAGCTTGACAGCCAGGACATGAAGAAAATTATATATAGAACATGGAGAAGCTTCTGCCCAGCAGATAAACCAAGCAGAATGCCCTCCCACTGGCTTCAGAATATGAGAAAATGTTTGTGATTCGCCTTTTTTTTTGAGACAGGGGTTCTCTGTGTATCCCTGGCTGTCCTAGTACTCACTCTGTACACTAAGATGCCCTTGAAGTCACAGAGATCTGTCTGCCACTGCCTCCTGAGTGCTGGTTAAATGTGTGTACCACCACTGCCCAGGTAATATTTTAGAATTATCTCACAAAAGAGTAACATAGAAACTATAAAAGGAATTGGAAAATCAATAATAATAAAATAATATTAAAAACTAGTAAATGATCTGAATAGACATATTCAAAAGATGATTTACCAGTGGCCAACACTATTGAAATATAGGCAATAGTCCTAGCTGGGAATACAAGTCAAAACCACACTAAGAAAAATCCCCATCTCAAAATGGTTAATATCAACAAAGAAAATTACCTAATTATGACAAGAATTATGGGAGGGGAGTAAGGGACCATAATACACGCAAAGAATATAATTTAGTATAACCATGATAGAATGTGATCTGGAGGATTTCTAAAAACCTAACAGTACAAATACCATGTGACAAGATATCAAACTACTATAACATATCCAAAGGAAATTAAATCTATGAGTCAGAAATACCTGCACTCTTTATTGAGGTAGCGCTGTTCAAATAGCTAAGACAGATAAACAATCCAGAAGCAATTGACAGGTAAGCAAATAAAGAAAATATACATAATGGAATATTATTTCACCATAAAAAGAAAAAATGTATTGTCTGTGACAACAGAAATAGCCAGACTACATTATGTTAATTAAATTGACCAGATGAGGGAAATGCAGCAGACTGGAGCGGTGTGCTGTGCAGAGAACCAGAACTAAAGATGTGGCAGGTCACAGCTTCAGGCTGCATATTTGCCCCTCAGCTTCCCTCTTCTCATCCTATTCTCCCTGCTCATGGGGATTCCAGCTCCTGGTCAGGTCTGCACAGCCTGTTCCATCTCTCTCCAGCTGTCCTGTAGCATTTGTGTGGTGCTCAGTGGGGTGGTAGGGAAAGGGAGAGGAAGGAGAAAAGCAGAAGCACCTCTTTGACAGTTTCCATAAAAAATTAACCCAAGGTGCAGCGGGGAATGGTTCACTTCCATTCCTACCTGATTCTTTGCAAGATGCTTATTCTCTTCAGTTTCCTGTAGAAATACAAACTATTGCTCATAATCCTGTTTTCTTCATGGAACACACGTGGGGCTTCCTGATCTGACACCTTACTCAGAAGTCCTGTACTTGGGTCTTTTTTCACTCCCCACACTGTTCTCTGATCCCCCTCAAAGATGCCACTTACAATCTCATAACACATAGATTCCATGGTCCTCTCTTTACCTCCTTCACTCCTAGATCTCTCTCTCTCCTCTCATAGTACTTTCCCTCCTTTAATGCTGTACACCTATTTCTGATGAAACATTTTCCTTCATATATGCCCCATTGAATTTTTTAACATTTCAATATTTGTTTCCTCTTTCTAATGTGCAACTTTTTGTTGTTGTTCTTGTTTTAATTCTGTTTGACTTTTGAATCTTGCTGTTGTTATCATTTAAAGTATTTCTAGTTGAAGCATTTTTGTGGCCGGTTTTCTACAAATTTCTTATAGTGCCTAGAGATAGTTTCAAGAGTGGGTATGGTGACATACACCTCTAATCTCAACATTAAGAGGTAGAAGTACGAGGATCTGGTGTTCAAAACTAGCTTTGGCTATGAGAGATCCCATGATAAAGACAAAGCAAAGAAAAAAAAGGAAGTAAGGCAGGCAGGAAGGAAGGAAGGAAGCAAGGAAGCAAGGAATGGAGGGAGGGAGAAAAAGAAAGCTTAATGAATGAACTGTCTCAAAAGATGCAGTCATTAAAACGTTAATTTGTTTTCCTGTCCTTTTGCTCTTAGATTTTGGATTTTGTACAAGAACAGCCAAAATACAGGGTTGGGCTCACACTCATTCAGTGAGCAGTTGACCCTTACTGAATATGCAGTGAGAACACTATGGTTTGAAGACTCTACAGTCTGATGACTATTGGTAATGCTTGGATTCAGCTGCTCTACCACAATTATTTCATTGAAGGAGACATAAAGGTGAAGATTCTGAAAGTTTCTAACTTCTGATGTTTGAAAAGAGCAGTGCAGACAACAAGAATACTGTGAAGACAATTCCAACTTGTTAGAAGATTGTAAAGTATGAAAGCCCCATGTCTCAAACAAGAGAAGACTATTTATTCATTAGACAACAGCTTCACAAAATATCTATGTTTTCAGAATCAACGATTAGTCAATCATTGGAAGTCATGACCTTTCTAAATGGCCTCTGGCTATGTGGTTTATTCTCATTTGTTCTCCTTCTCAGCCATCCCTATTACTCACTTACCAGATTGTGGCAGCTTCCGATTGGTGCACGCTACACATATAATCCCACGACACAGAACCCAGAAATCAACAGTCTTCCTTTTCTCCTAGTGTTAGAGATTGATCTTGTGAGTTTCCTGCTCTTCTACTTGTCACCATGAAGCTCCTGGTATTCCTTGTATTACTTGGTGTCTCCACTATCCTAGTCTCTTGCCGTAAGTAAAGATTTTTACTTGAAATGGAGGCTATAATATATACTGTACTTACTCTGTAAGACATGAATTTATGGATGCTTGCATGCTACTACTTCTTGTCCTACCTAATACCTGGCTCTACCTTCAATTTTTAATTTATAGTTATCATCATCATCATCATAGTTACTATTACTATTGTATGTATAATATTTTGTGTGTGTGTGTGTGTGTGAGAGAGAGAGAGAGAGAGAGAGAGAGAGAGAGAGAGAGAGAGAGAGAGAGAGAGAAAGAGAGAGATTGGGAGGGGGGTTATCAGGGTCTCAAACATGCCATGGAATATGTATGAAGGTTAGAGACAAGTTTCAGGAATCTATTCCCACCTACAACTATGCAAGTTAACTCACGTCATCCAACTTGTAAGAGAAGGGCTTTATCCACTAAGCCATCTTCTTGGCACCCACCTCCATTTTGACATGACATTGTAGGTAATTTGACTGCACTGGGATTCCTGGTTCAGGTCAGTCTTCATTGTCTGTGTGGCATGCATGTGAATCGTTAGTGTCAATTTGAGAAGGTGATTAATGGGAAGCAAAACTGACACACATTAGATTTCAAAGGTTCTTCTCTTATCTGTGCAGGTGATTCCCTCAATCTGTCTGCTCAGGACTAAGGGTTTCCCTTATGAATATCTGTGACAGTGTTGACATTGTCCATCCCATCAAAATATTTCTTGAGCTCATCTGTCTTATTTTCCTTCTTTCTTTCAGAGGACGCAAACTCGACCAACACTGATACTTCTGAACCTGGTGAGCTGAGTCTAAGTGCCCTTCCTTACCTTCCTACATTTTCGTTTACAGCCTCATGGAAGTCAATGGCATGTGAATATTCTGAATTTTGAGAAAATTTCAGCAAAATCCACAGAAAGCAGCATTCTTTATTACAAAATTATTTTTAATATAAAGATATCATCTCATTCCTTATAGAAAGATAATTAAGCTGCTGACATGGACTTAGAGGAACTGTAGACATGTATTGTTCTTATGCAGTAGGCACAAGGCCATGAGGTCTGATACTGTGGTTGAGTATTATATTTGAGTGCATGGCAAGACTTTCTCAAGTTGAAGGCCTGTATAACTCGTGTAAAAAAGAAATCAATTGCCACTGGGACAGACAACAAATTCCTGAAGGTGCTGTGGGGTAAGGGTATGGGAACATATGCCAGGGTGGGTTGAGACAAAAGGAACGGTCTGTGCTTTGCATGTACAATGGTATAGCCACACTAGTCTCAAAATTATGTTTGTTTCCCTGCTTGGAATTGACACTGGAGGATGTTGGTTGGAGTTTTCTTTATGCATCTTGGGCAGTAATGTCTGTGACTAGCTTGACTTAAGTTTGTGGTCCCATTCCTGTCACAAGGCACTTGCTTGTGTCTTGGGTCAATGTTATTGACCAAGGAGCCATGAGGTCATGAAAGATGAAGCAAAAAAATATATGACAGACTAAATATATGAAAGAGTTGATGAATTGAGGATAAGAAATGGATTGCAATCCTGGTTGGGACCAATATAATTGTCAAGACGAGTCAGTGTCTCACCTGGAGCTTTTCCTCCTAATTTCAGCTGCTTCTGCAAATAGCACATCTGGTGAAACCAACAACTCTGAATCTCAGACACCAGCTGAGCCTGCTGTTGAGAAGCAAGTTACCGAGTCTGGTGGTGAAACCCAGAAAAATAGTGAGGCCGCTAAAGAGGTCCCCAAAAAGGCCACTGAAAAAACCTATAAGAGATTGCTGCACGATATTATACCAGACATTCCCAGAGGTAAAAACATTCTTCTAATTTTGTTCTCTATGTGACTCTTATATTCCTTAGGTTCCCCCATGATCACAATGAGCTGTACTTTAGGGAAAATGTGAGGGAGGATGAAGAGAGGGAGAAGGAGAGTCCTTTGTTTCATTCCTCTTTTCTCATTCATTATATTCTCTGTATATAAGTGCCAGAAGGATGAGTGTGACAAGTCTATCAATTTTATCAAGTTTATCAGTTTTAACTACATCACTCCAGTGGTAGGATTCATTAGAGGAAAAGTATATGAAGCAGAAAACATTGAAAGTGTAAAGTGTCCCCACTGTGAATACCTTTTAGTTTTCATAAATAAAACGTATATGTTCTTTGGAGACTACTATAAAAATAGAAACAGAAAAGAGCATTGTGATGAGGTCTTCCAAGGATGACTGTTGTAGTATGAATCAGGAGATTTCTAGGAGTTTAAAGATTAATTTAAGATTATGGCATTTTTCTATTGGGGATTTTTCCCTAACCCTTCAACTTTAAAGTTACACCAATTATTTTATTTCATATTTATAAAATTCATATTCATAAAATATGAAAATTCATATTATAAATTTAAGATGGGGTTCAAATCTCTAAGAAATTATCCTAGAAAATGAACATCATAAAAAAGGAATGAGGGGCTTCCAGTGAGCAGCTTTTTTCTGCAGAAACAGCAGTAATGCAGGATAGTATTTGCCCTCAGAGGATGAGGTACTAAGGAATCGTATCCAAGAATTTCTTCTCCTGTGTCATGTCAAGGTTGTTGTTTGACATCTTGCTCATTGATCTGTACTAGGCAAATGCTGGGAAGTGAGTGTATTGCCATAATTTCTTTGTCACAGAAGCTGAATTGCTTAGTGTATTAATAGAAGAAAAATTAATGCTAATCTACCTCCTGTTGATCTCTGTAAAATGTCCAGCCTGATGACTCCATCCTAGGCTGCATTTCCAAATATTTTAGATGGGAAATGAAGGTTGTTTGACAGATGTATTTCTGAGACGGGGCCTCATTATATAGCCCAGACTACCCATGAATTCCTCATCTTCCTGCCTCTCATTCCTGAGGGTTGGGATTCCAGGCTTCTGCCCCCACATCTTTGAGTTTTAGTTTTAAGGAATGAACATTTCATATTTCTTTTGCTTATGCTGAATTAGTAGTGTTATTAATCTCCCTTCAGGTTAAAACAAAACAAGAAATCTCAAAGTAACTTCTTATTTTCTCTCTTTCTTACAGAGTTTGCCAAATTCAGATAGATTCTATGAGTCATGCCATGAGTGTGTATCTTCTACTATTGATATTTCCAGACCAGACTAGAACTTCATTGATTTGATTCCTCCAACTGTTTACCCTGGCTATTCTCTCTCCCTCATCTCTAACTTTTATTGTCTGTCAAATAAACAATGGTTATGAGCAGCATCAAAAGGGTTTTGTTTTTACGTGTATGGACTGGTGATAACTTTATACTCTTTAGGCGATCCATTGGAAATGCAAACTATTCTCTGATACTTCCTTGAGCTCTTTTTAATGATTGCCCTTTCATAATTTTATCTGAAAGATTCGTTTATGTTCTTTAAATAAGGCATAGATATTAGACATATTACTAGAGGCTTGGGCTTTTCTATATTAATGTACTAACCAAACACTTCCTCGGGTTTGGTGTTCAGTTCCATTCATCCAGATTCTTCTGAATTATTTTTTCTTATCTGCAGTGAGTTAGAGGTGACAGTGATGAAATAAGCTGCTGAATCTAGCTACAGGCCTGACATGGGGAACTAGGCTTTGGAGGTCTTAGACCTGAGCTTGTAGTAAAGGTAGCAAATGAATTTGGGGGTTTGACCAAACTCATAAAACACTAGCAGCAGATGGGATGCCTCAGTGTCAGTGAGTAAATGAGACAAAATGACAAGATTACTTCACAGTTTTGTTTCCAGCACCAAATAATTTTAATGTGTGACATCAAACAGCCATGCCTCTCTCTCAGCTAATGAGTAAGCGCTGCTTCATCTCCAAACACATGTTTTGTTTCATTGACTACCTCCTTTTCAGATAAAGCTCATTAAAACTCCAGATATTAACATTGCTTCCCCCCAACACCCTGTCCGAAGTATTGAATACACAGAAATGGATTATTTCCCTTATTAATTCTCTTGTTTCCTGACTGAAGAACAAATGCTATGTTAATATTTTCACAAAAGCTCCCATTCCCTGGAATTTTTACCAGCCTGTTATTTCCTTGACTGACTGAAGAGATAAAGTCTCTCAGATTTTTTCAGTTTTAACTGTCCTCCTGGTAGTCACCATGGGGTGATTTGATCCAAAGTGCAAAATTAGGATGGGTGCTTTATGTAATGATATCTTAGTCCCTAATTTGTTTTATTACATGACTAGAATCATACTCATCATTTGTCAAGGGTGTGCTAGTAGTAGTCTGGGGAATTACTGTCCATTTCATGTTATGGACACAGTTTAAAACATGGGAAAAACAGAAGACCCAGGCACAGAAAAAGAAAGGGTAACAGATTTATTGTCAACAGCCCCTATCTGGATGGGAGGGGCCATAAAGCAGCTATCTGGTAAACAGATTCTGGGTTGGGTGTTTTGTTGGGTCCCTTAATTTTTCCCTTTCTCCTGTTGGTCCTGATTTGATATCTGCCCCATGCCTTCCCACCTTACTCTTCACAATGTCTGCTGGGATCAAGCAAGCAACATCTTAAGTGCTGGAAAATGCCTTGAGCCAGCCCCTGGAGATGAGTGGGTCTTGGGGGCTCCGCGCCACTGAGTCCGGACACACTTGGCACCCACACCTTCCTGGTTCCACAGTCTTGTGCAAGTAACCGCTTAGTCTCATGTGTGTAACTGAGAGAAGAATGTATTTGTGTGTGCATGTGTGTTTACTCCTAAGAATTTGGCACAACTCAGAGATCATTTCTTCTACTGAGAATTTGTACTTCAGAAAATAATGTATACAAAAATCTTTCTTTAATTATTAGTCTCTTTATAAGCCATTGAAATCCCCCAGCCAACTGTTTTAATAACTAGCTTTAAACTTAGAATATAGAGATAAAAGAACATCAGTGGTGTTTGTTATATGTGAGATAGATAGATAAATAAATAAATAAATAAATAAATAAATAAATAAAGTGGGTTGGAACAAAAAAAGAAAGGAAGAAAGAAAGGAAGAAAGCAACATCTTGCCGAGCCCATCTTCACTTTCCTTGTCTACCAATGTCCCTCTATCTTTCCATCCATTGAGTCTCTGGACCTGTTTCCCAGGACCCTATCTCTGTAACTTTGAAGGATTTATCTTTACTTTTGACTTGCTGATCACAATGCATAGATTAGTCAGATAGCTTAGCCACCATAATGGCATTAAGTTGGTTGATGCTCCTTTAGGATCATTATGACTGTTAAAACTATGACTGCTGTGGCTGGAGAGATGGCTCAGTGATCATGAGCACTTTCTGCTCTTGCAGAGAACCTGGGTTTGGTTTCCACTTTCCATAGGTGGTTCACAACCATCTGTAACTCCAGTTCCAACATCCTTTTCTGGCCTTTATGGACACTACTAATACTTGTGGGACACATATACATTTGTAGTTAATCACTCATATATATAAAATAGAAATAAATTAATCTTTTTTAAAAGATTGTGTGTGTGCTCTACAGTGTGGGTTATAGTTTAGTGAAACTGGGGTTTAGTGGATTTTCTCCTGAGTAGGAAAATAGCAAGGATTCACAAGTCTACCAGCAAAGAAAAGGCCAGGACCAGATGACCTTACTGCTGGATTTTACCAAATCCTTAGAGAACTAGTGCCAAACCTACTTAAACCATTTTAAAATTTAATGGAAGATGACCTCTCAAAACTCATTCTTGGATGCCAAGTTTACCCCACTACCCAAACCAGATGAGGGTATGACAGCTACAATGATACAAAAACGAATAGTTCCTGATAAACACCAATACATAAGTAGAAAGCAAAATAAAGTCCATCAAACACATCATTCATGAAGATACAATTGGTTTATTCCAGGAATACCAGATTTTTAAGAATAGCTCAACCTACATAAGTCAATAAATATAGCACACCATGAAAAGAATAAAAGCTTTCTAGTCATTTCAGTAGATGATAAAAAATAATTAATAAAATTTAATACCCCCTTGATGATATAAGCCCTGAAAAAATTAGATCTAGAAGGCAGGCATCTCCACTCAAATCCCATTACTCTTATTTAAACACTACCAGAAGTTTTATCTAGAAGATCTATATAAGATTATTTTTTAATGATAGGGAGTTAAAACTACTGGGATGAAGTAATGTATTTGCAACCAATATAATTCTTCACATATAAACACCTAAAAATTCTAACAAAGATTCTTGGAATTGATAATTTAATTCAGTTAAATACAAGGACACATATCCTCATACAGAAATGAGTAAGTTTTCTATACATCATGAGTGGATTTGTTAAGAACTAAATCTCAAAATCAATCTCATTACAGTATCTGAAAATCTAACTAGAAATATACTTAATTAAGGAAATGAAAGACTCCTAAAGTGAAAATTCTAAAACACTATAGAAGCATTTGAAGGAGACATTGGAAAACAGAAATGTACCAAGCCCCTGGGTTGACAAATAAAGATTGTTAAAGCATTAAAATTACCAAAAACAACCCAGATACAAAACAATCCTCATCAAAATATCCATAATGTTCTTCACAGGAATAGAAAGTTAATATCAAAGGATATAACTCAAGCTGTTGTGACACATACAAACTGTTGTACCCTTCCCTCCTGGGGATCTATTGACTGCTTGTTACTAGGAGCTTTTAGCAAAACACTTCTTGTCCACTCCTCCCAGTAAGGCCTGCATACAAGTTCCTGTTTATTGTCTAAATGCTAATTCCTGTTTTTGGTCCACCCTTTGCTGGAGGGCGCTGGGAACATAGGCTTCTGACCTTGGTGTTTTTTCCACCATACCTGCCTTTGGTATATAAAGTTCCACTCTTGTTAAAATAAATGTCATTCTCCTTGTAAGAATGAGCCGCTGTCTTTGTCTTTATTTTCATCCTTAGCCCTTAGCCTCGGATAGTTGTGAAGTATGGTAGCTAAGGTTATATGATTGGGTAATATACTGGAATTCTTTAACAAAGGTGGAAAGGTTGGCACTATAGGATCCCAATCTTTTGTCTACTTGGGAGAGTTCAGTCAATGAGAAGGGGACATGAACTTTGACTAAGCCATCCACCCCAGCAACCTCTCACAAGGGGAGAACTGGAGCTGGTTTAGGTTGGGGAGGTAAAGGGGTTGGTCCCTTAGTGGAGCGGGACCCAGTAGGGACTGTTGGTGGTGAGCTGAAGGTGGGTGCCAGTGAAAGCTGACTAGGGTGACTTGTCACTGAAGAGGGAGAAAGGGAAATTGGAGGGGCCAGAGCTAGAGGGGGAGCTGAGGGTTTTGTTCGATGGGGAGAAGGCTCATTGGCTGGATCAAAAGTAGTGGAGAGATCATCTTGTTCAGACTTCCTAGCCAAAGGGACTTGAGAGGGAGAGCATGAGGCACAGAGAGAAGGCTTGGAGGGTAGCAGAGAGAAAGCCTAGACTAAAGGGTCCTAAACTTACTCGCTTTTGCAATAAAATTTGGCCTAAATACCATTTAGATAATCAGTCCAAATGGCCACGTAATGGCACCCTAGATCCCAATATTATTCGGGACCTTTACAACTATTGTGAATGATTGGAGAAATGGAAGATTTTCTACGGAGCAGAGGCCCCCTTGGGTAGAGCAGAGCAGAGTAGAGCGAGCAGGGCTGTAACACTTGCCCGGGAAACCTTCCCTTGGCAGAGAACAACTCTGCTCCCAGCTCTCTGCTCCGCTTTACACTGGGCAAACATGCCCAGCTGGAAGACCCTGTCCTGCGGAAGCAGAGCTGATACACTGGGGAAGCCTTTCCCTGAGGCTGGGCTCCCGAAATGCCTACATTAGCACTGTAACTGTGAACACACCTGCTGCTCGCTACAGATATAGGTCCCACCAAGATTGGAAAAGAAGAAAAACTGAATGTTGGCCAACAAGTAAGTAGGAGAGTGTATTTGGATAGGGGTACCAAGTTTAGGATACTGAGTTTGGCCCCCGATGGTGGGTCAGCCCCCAGAGAGGGGTGATTTAAAAAGTTAGGCCCTAGAAGGTAGGCCCCTGTAGAGGAGTGATTTAAAAAGTTAGGCCCCAGTTGGTGGGTCAGCCCCCGTAGAGGGGTGGATTAGAGTTAGGCTCCAGCCCTGACTTGACCCATTGGTGTCAAAACTGTCAGGGAATTCCTGAGAGCCCACCCCCACAGAAAGCCAGCCAGCATTCTTCTTAAGGTTAGGAGTGAGTATATTAGGTATGGCTGTGCCGCGTCTGCTGAGCAGCCTGTATCCGAGAATG